ATTAGGTTTCACGGTACATAAAAATAAAATATTTCAATGGAAATAAAAAAAAAAAAAAAGCCAAAAAGTGGTAATCTTTGTTTAATTACAATTTTTATTTTATCAAAAGCCAGTTCGTGCAAAGGTTTTTTTTGTTTTTAGGTGTACTTACTACAAAATTAGATTGGATTTTCCCAAAAGGGGAAAATCCAATCTAATTTCGTAGTAAGTACACCTAAAACCTTGAAGAAAATCAACCATAAGTGTCCCCTCATTTAAAAAAAATAACCATAAAAAGAATGTTTTAAAGAAAGAAAAAAAAGTTTAAATAAGTATAAGATTTTAAAATAAGGAAATTTATTTTTAATCAACATTTAAATTTAATTTATAACTTTTTTTATAACAATATTGTTTAATTTAAAGATATTTTATTTAAAAGACAATTTCTAATTTGTTTTTAAATTTAATTACAATATTTATATACTTTAAATATTTATAACTTTAAAAAAAAGTTAACTCACTTGAAAAAAAGAATGATTTTGTTGAGAAGAAAAAAAAAGACTTTTTTGAAAGCCGTTTGAATTAAATAGCGTTTCTTAAGTTTTTATATAATTAAAACGCATTTTAAAAAAGTATCAAATCACTGCTAATGATTTTGTATTAAATTAGACAGATCTACAAAAAAACTTTTTTCCTGTTGCATGAGATATTTAAATGATTTTTATGTATTTTTAAACGCTGAATCCAAATATAAGGTTTGTTTTTGTTGGCAAGCTCTAGTTTGTTTGCAATAACCAATTGATTAATTTTTTAAAAATTATGATTTTCATAGGTATTTTTATTCAATAGTTTAAAAAAAAATAAACTATGTCATTGATTTTAATAGATCAAATATATAATATGTTTGCTTATAAATATATAATATGCTTCTTCAAATCAACATTAGTGCAATCCTCATTCTGTTATATCTGTGGTTGCTATACACTTGTTTGACACAGACGAAACATTACTAATTTTGTAAAACTAGCATATAGATAGTATTTCGATATTAAACTTGGCAACCAAGACAAAAATGAGCTCCACATACAGTGTGCCATATTTGTGAAGAAAGTCTTCAAGATTGGACAAAAGGAAAAAGAAAGAATTTACCTTTTGGAGTCCCCATGGTTTTGAGGGAACCACTAAATCACATGAACGACTGTTATTTTTGTCTTGTTGATACTACTGGTATTGGCAAAATAAAGAGGAAAAAAATAGCTTATCCCAATATTCCTTCTGCTATTAGACCATTTCAACATTTTAAAGAGATTCCATTTCCAATTTTTAAAGGTTTATTTTTGTCAGAAGATGAACAAAGCATGTTTGCTACAGAAACAGAAGAATGTTTACTAGATTTGGATGACTTCTCATCTAATGCTAAAACAATTCAATTTGCCTTAGTGTTTTAGTCAGATAAAACTGAATGACTTAGTTTGTGATTTACTTTCTAAGCTAGCAGCAGAAGTATTAGCGCCACGTTTAAAGGAAAAAAAACCTACTTGATAGCTTTGCAAAAGCTTCTTACTTTAGAACAAGATATGAAAACTTTGTTAACTTTTTTTCAGAAATCAATTTATTTGTTTACTGTCATGATTTTTCAGACCTCCTATTACAGTAGGGTAGTTCTGTATATAATCCAACATAATGGATAATTTTTATCGATAGCACAAAGCGAAAACTCAAATTCGCCATACTGCACAGTGGAAATATTTTTGGTTTTGTGCCAATTGGTCATTCTGTTTATTTGCGAGAAACTTACAATGACATTAAAAACTCTTACAGTGGGCATGCACAATATTGTGAATTAACCCATTGTTAGTCGAAATAAAATAGTTTTTCCACAAACCCATCTTAAACTTGGATTCATAAAAAAATTTGTTAAGCACTGAAAACTGATAGTGATTGTTTTCAGTGTAGAGTTACATCATTACCAGGTTTGTCAATAGAGAAAAAAAAGGCAGGTTTTTTTAATGGACTTCAAATTCACTATGTTATAAAATTTTAAAAATTCATTAAAACAAAGAAGAGAAAACGACTTGTCATTTGCAGTTGTTGTAAAAAACTTAATTAGAAATAAAAAAGCAGAAAACTATTCAGATTTTGGATGCAAAATGAGTAACTTTATTATACAAATAGTCATTTTGACTATTTTTTTCATAAATATCTTAGAGATGTGAATGATGAGCGAGAAAACAACAACAGGATTTTGTTGAAAGACAAGGAGAAACAAGCAATTTTATCAAGATCTTAACAAAATTGAAGATTTTTACCAAGGATGTTAGGATATACAAATGATGTCAGACTACTGTTGGGGCATCAAGTGAGAAGACTCAAAATACTTTATAAACGAAAGAGCAACAAGTTTCTTCCTGATTAAACAGTTGTAATTAAACAACATAATCTTTGATTTAAATCTTTATTTTAGAGTCTTTATTAAGACTTGACTTTGCCATTCAATAAAATTGATAATCGATTGTTAATCAATGAAAAGATGATAACTTTGCTAAGACTTGGATATTTATAAAAGGTTCATTTTAAAAATTTTTCATTTTATTTTCATCTGTTTTCTGCTTTTGTTTTAGTTTTGTAAACAACTTTTATTGTAAAAAAAATATTAAAAATATATAATATAAAAATATATATTTAAATCTGTATTTTAGAACTATTTCTAATGTTTTGCAAAAAAAAAAAAAAAAAAAATTTATTGCTTCTGTTAAAAAATCTGTAGCTTTCCATAAAAATCTGATGCCAGATTTGAATTCAGCATATCAAAATTATGTAAAAACTAATGTCAAATTTAATGTAATGACTTTTTTGTTGACCTGTGTTATAAATGAACAATTAATAAATTATTGATGAATATATTTTTTTAAAGTTATACAAGTATATATTATATATTTTTTATAATAAATGTCTTAAAAAAATATATATATATATCAACTTTATTAATAAATGATTCAACTTTTTTATTTTAAATTTTTCTTTTATTTACGCTACTGCGAAAAATTAAGAATCTTTTTTTAACTTTTAAATGTGCGCATTTATTATACAATCGTTAAATGTAAGTCGTTACTTTATTTATAAAGGGTTTTGCATAATATTATATTATAAAAAAATTAGTAAAGATAAACAATTAAGAAATTATTTATTCCAAACGTAATTTGGATAATAAATAAATTTATTAGTTTTTCTATTTTAGTTTTATTTAAGCTATTTTTATATATATTTACATATATATATATATTTACATATGTATATATATATATATATATATATATATATATATATATATATATATATATATATATATATATATATATATATATAAGAAATTCTCCTTTTTTATTAAAAAAAAAAAAAATAGTTGATGCAATGAATGCTGCTTAATAGCTACAAAAAACTGACGATTTCATTCTAATAAAAGTATATAATAAAGTATATAAAAGTATAAGTCAGTATTATGTCTTTCTATAACTGACGTGTAAGGCTCAATTAAATGATTGCAAATTGCGATACCTGGATATCAAATTGCAATAACTTCTTTAAATACATTTTAAAATTTATTAGTTTTTTAAAACCGGAAACTCTCTTATTATTACTAAACTTAATAGTTGTTATTGAATAAAAAATATATAGATCTTGAATTTGCGTAATAAAACCATTACTATTATTTTTATTATTATTGTTATATTTTATTATTATTAAATATTCATTATTATTAATACTATTATTATATTGTTACTATTATTGCTATTATTATTAAAATCTACAATTTAAACTTTAATAAATGATTAATTCATTTGATAATCTGATGATTTATCAAATGAATTAATCATTTGATAAATCATCAGATAAAACTAGTAAAATAAAGTACACAGTACAATGTAAAATTAAAAAAAAAAACAATCACAAATCACAACAGTCTAAAGGAACTTAGCGGTGATCAAATATTTAATAAAAAAGAAATGGTGAAGCAAGATATAAAATGTATAAATGCTTGCCCATTTAAACATCAATTAAATGCTTGTAACACTTTTAAATCATTTCTCAAAGTTTTTGCCTGAATAAAAATTAATTTTAATGTTTCATATAATATTTCATATAATGTTTCATATAACTGCTTTAGAAATAACTTTTTTTTTATCACTAAATTATCACGCAAATATTCCGACCTTTAGTATTTTTTTTTAAATCTATTTGTAATGCTTAAATTACAGGAAATATCAATTAATTAAAATTATTTAAAGTCATATTTAAAAAATCCGGAATATTTGTTCCTATTATTATGCGAAATTTTTTTAAAGAAGTATCCAGAAATCCATGGAAATAAAAACGCATTTTGTGTACCTAAGAACCTCATGTGTTTGAAAAGAAAGATTTTGGTGGGGAAAAAAAGTTTTAAAATTCTTTTATAAAAAAAGAAAAGCACTTCAATACTTATTTAAATAGAGTTTATAAGTTAAAATAAATAATATTAAAAAAAACTTTACTGTTTAAATTATCTGATTATTATTATATAAATTATACTTGTATAAATTATACTTGTATTTCTGAAAAAACTAATGGATATCCAGGAAAAATAAAATTTTACAGCAATACTTGGAATTCTGGAAAAAAATAATACCTAAAACTTCAACAACTAATCGTTTCAACAACTAATAATTTAAAATATATGAAAATTTTGCATTAGTATATTTTTTGTTTTATTTTGTTATTAAATTTTGCAATATGATAAATTGTCCATTTCATTGAAATAGTGTTTAATGTTTTCAAATAACATTTGAATTTGAGGAAAAAAATATTTCAGGATATTGCAATCCACAATCACTTAATTAAAGCCTTGGAAAAAATAAAAACATAAGCATACTTTAACTCATTAAGGTAAAGTGTAATTAATAAGCATTAATAACAAGCTTTGCTTAGAAGGTCTCTTAAGTAAAATAAAAGTATAATACTGAAATATACACAAAGCATAAATTCACCTCTCGTTCTCTTTGATCTTCAAGTAAATCTTTCATCAACTCACCAGGTGGAACCCATGCATTTACTGACTTATGTAGCTCTATTTTTTCAAATTGGGGAAAAACAACACTCTTTTTTTGTTGTCCACTGCTAGAAGCTCCAGAGCCTCCGCCAAATCCTTTTCTTCCCCCTTTTTTCTTTGATGATCTTCCTTCACCAGCTTGTTTCATGTACCTAGGTATAAAATCATTAGAAGCTAACCTTTGTCCAGGAACTAAAGCTTTAGTAGGAGCATGTGCCTCATTTAATACAATATCAATGTCAGGTAGTCCTTGAGGTTTAAAAGTGAATATTTGAGCAAATTTGAGCAAAAAGTCTCGATTGTATTCCCTTTTTATTTGCCTTTCTTTATCATTATCAATTTCTTGAGTGTCTAAAATACAATAAAAAACAATTTTTTAACAAACAATTCATGTATGAAGGTAACTAAATTTAATGTAAATTTTTTTAAATAAATCCAAATAAAAAAAAAAAATGTTAATTCAAATAAACCCTATTTAAAAACTACATTTTGATTCACTAACAACTAAAATGGATGCCTACCATTTGTTGTATCAAGTTATAAGTTATTGAGTAAACTTATAACTTAGGAACTAAAAAACAATTAGTACCATTATACTTGATTTTGTTTAACTTATTTTTAGTAAGCATTAAAAATGCTATGCAGCATTAAAAATGCTATGCAGCATTAAAAATGCTATGCAATAAAAACAGAGGTATATATTTTTAATTATTCTTTTTGAAATTTTTATATAAATTTTATTCTATTTAAGATTTAAACACTTTTTTTACATTAATATATGCAAACAATTGAATGTTTAAGGGTCATGAGGCATCCTTAAAAATATTTAGAAAATTTTAGTAAAAAAAACTTCTACAAATTAAAACTATATTTGTATTAATGTTATTAATTTTACATACAAAGAATGTTTTATATATTTTTCGTTAAGAATTGCACAAAAATAATAGTAAAAATACTTTTGACTGATACTGTACATATATACATTTTGGATTTAAAAGTTTTTTAAGTATTTATTAGTATAAATACTTAAAAAACTTTTAAATCCAAAATGTATATATGTACAGTATCAGTCAAAAGTATTTTTACTATTATTTTTGTGCAATTCTTAACGAAAAATATATAAAACATTCTTTGTATGTAAAATTAATAACATTAATACAAATATAGTTTTAATTTGTAGAAGTTTTTTTTTTTTTAATTGCATTTAGTTTGTAACATATTTTTAGAAAACGTGAGTTTTCTAAAAAACAAAAAGTATTTTTACTCTTAATTGTTGAATATTTTTATAAACTCTTATATTTATATCAATTTTTTTCAGCAAACTTCATTGAAAACTATTAAATAGGAATCATGAGGAGTGTAGTGAAGGTCTTCCCAATTCAATAGTTAATTAACAGTTAATTAATGTGAAATCACTATAAGGAAAGCAGCTTGTCAATTCAGCACTCAGTAGAACTTTAAACAAAACCGGTCAACCATAAAAAACTACTAAAAGACGATTGTCAACTTTGTCAAATGTAAAAATGTCAAAAATATATCTGAAACTGTCATATCTGAGTAATTTTACTAATATTGTAAAAATATCAAGTGAAAAGACATTTACGTGACAAAAATTTATTTGGAAGACATCCTTGTTGATTTTAAAAAAGAACCAGATGGATTAAGTAAAATTCGCCTAAGAGCATTTACACTGGACAATAATCTAATTATGTGAGCATGAACTGGCCTAGCTAAAGTCCTGACCTAAATCCCATTATAAATTTATTTATACACCTTTACACCAAAAATGGAAAATATGCCTATAGATAAACTAATGAAGTTTGCAAAATCAATGCCTCAAAAATGTGCCACTAAATATTGATTAATATAATTATAAATTTCATGAAAATTATTTTTATTTTTTGATTTTTTCTTTTTTTTAAATATAACTGAAAGTAAAAATATTTTTGACCTGAGAAAGTAAAAATTTATTTGACTTTAACAAAATTAAAAAATAATTATTCTAAAAATATATTAATGCAAAGCTCAACAAAAATTTTATACTGCAGTAGAGTGTCACTAATGTACATTAAATAAAAAATAAATAATCTTCACCTATCTTCATCTATCAATATTTTTTTAAGGCAAACTAGTAGCAAAAATACTTTGGAGCGCTATATGTATGTATGTATGTATGTATGTATGTATGAATGTATGTATGTATGTATGTATGTATGTATGTATGTATGTATGTATGTATGTATGTATGTATGTATGTATGTATGTATGTATGTATGTATGTATGTATGTATTAAAGTGCATCCAATGTCCCATACTTTTAAAAATTGATCTGTCCCTATTCTTAAAACTTTCTATTGGTTTTCACAAAACACTCAGTTAAATTTTTTCAAAATTTATTGAGATTTAGGGGGGACACCTTAAGTCTGAAACTTGCAACAAGACCCTAAACAGAAAAACAAAAAAAGTTTTTCAAGTGTATGTCATGTTTAAAGTTGCGACTCAAGAAAAAAACGCGTTTTTAAATAAAAAAAATAATACATTTCTTCACATAACAATAAAATAACAAGGCACAAAAAAAAAAAAAAACTTTAATGTTTTTTTTTTTTAGTATTCTTCAAATTTTAGATTGTCTATGACAATAGTTCTACAACTATTGTCATAGACAATCTTTAATCCATCGTGTGCCATCGTACAGGGGTCCTCACAAAATTAGGGGTCTCAAGAACTAAAGATAAAAAAATTGACTTGTGTTTTATGATGCACCTGGGCACAGCAATAACAAAAAATTTATTTCAATTTACACTATAAATAATTTGGCATGTCAACTGCATTAGCTGTCATGTACAACATTTAAACATTAAAATTAGGTGTTGTTATGACTAACAATCTGAAGATTAAAACACAAGTGAAGACTTGTTTCTTAACCTTCTGCATCAGCTGCTTCAGCTGGCAACCAATTGCTTGGTTTTTCGAGGTCCAAGTGTAGCATTTTGGTGCACTTTGTATACTTCATACGTTCGCATGCATATAGAATTTGTGGTACAAGCCTCCATTTTCAGCTCAAGAAATAGCTAAACTCAAACAAGTTCAAAACCGAGCTGCAAAACTACGAGACATATATATATATATATCATAAATTAACTTGACAAAGCTAACTAAACAACAAAAGAGAGCAGATCTTATTAAGCAATACAAAATCGTCAGCAAAATCGACTAAGTTAACTTCTCAGTCCCTCAGCTTTAACACTGAGTCTTTAAAGCACAGAAACACCAAGTCTTTAAAGTACAGTCTCTGACCGCATGAACACACAAAACAACTAAAAGCACAACTTGTACAAAACTGTGCAGAAAGAAACAACTTCTTCACTAACCGTGTTGTCAAACCATGGAATGCTTCTACCCAAAATGTGACGGACTTGAAAAACCTGAATAACTTTAAATACAAACTTTCTTTGCTCTTGGCATCTTTACTTTATCTGAAATCTAAAAACTATATTTTTATTACAGAGTGGCCTGGTGTGCCCCTTTTTGTCAATAACTTGTAAATTTTTTTGATCATAAATAAACCAAACAAACAAACAATATTAATGACTTGATTATAGTAGACACTATAATCAAAAACAAAATCTTATCCAAACAAAAAAATTTTTATAAGGCGAGCTTTGCTTGGTTATTTCGAAAAGAAATTCTTGAAATTTTGATTTGAACATTCCCCACACCCTCGTAGGGGAATGGTCTTCCACATCAACATGACATAAGGGCCCACTGGGGTAAATCCAGCTCTTAATTATCAGATGACAGACTATTAAAGTTAGTTTTTCTTTCCTGTAATTTAGATTTAGAAAATCAAATATATGATGCAGAATAAGCTAAGACTTGAAGGCAACAAGAATTTATTCTGAGCAGTATTACTGAATAGAGTTACTAAACATTCTGTATGTTTTGTAAGGTTCGTTCAGTAACTTTTTTTTAAATAATAATTTAACTCATTTTTTAGACAATCATTTAAAATTTTGTATTAACTGTTGGCATAATAACAAATTTTAAAATAACATGTAAAAAGTTTTTTTAATTAAAAAAAAATCTAAAATTCAAAAAACAAAAGCAAAAAAAAACCCATAAAATTCCAAAAAAACCACCAAAAAATGTTTTTTTTTTTAAAAAAAAAAACACTAATTAAAAACAAAAAAACGTTTTTTTTTTGCAACTCTAGTCATGTTGGGTCTCAAAAGAAATGAAACTTTATAAAAATTTCAAAAATAATTATCATTTTTTGTTAAAAATACCTAGAAAATTTTTTTAGATAAAAACCATGAAAAAATGTTTTCTTTTAATTTTTTGTTAAAAAATAATAATTTTTATGCAATAAAACGTAGAATAATAATTCTTGTGTAAAATATTTTTATCATTTTTTAAATTTTTATAAAATTTAAAAATAACTACTTAAGGATACACCATATAAATGGTTATATATATAAATATATATACTATGGATGCACCATATAAATAAAATAACTACTTAAATAACCAGTAAAAATAAATTTACTTATTTTATATAAACATTGTCATTTATTGTTTGTGGCTTTTTTTATGTCCTCTTCAACTTTTTTATGCAATATATTTATGTTATAATTTTGTATTTTGTACTTTAGATCTGACCTCAGAACTTTATTTGTATATTTGACCTTGCATATAACTTGAATAAAAACCACAAAACAAACATTTTATTTAAATTTTAAATTAAGGTATAACATAAACCAAAAAATGAACATTTTATTTAAACTTAATAAAAAATTATAAAATAAAAAAATTGTTTTTTAAATCTAAGTAAAAAAATTAAATAAAAATAACAAAACAATCTTTTTTTCAAAATTCTGAACTAATTCAAAAGAAATAACATATAGGCTCTTAAAAAAATTTCTGAATTCTTTTAAGGTAAAAAATATCTAGACTAAGCTTTATATTACACAAATATCATTATATTTTATATTTGATTAAAATCTTTCATGCTATTAAAATACTTAAAAAACAACAATTTTGACATAGTTGTGGGTCAATAATATATTAAATTGACTTCAATCGTTTAGAATATTCTGGGTGGCTTTGTCGTCTCATACTTAATCCATTTTTTTTTAAACTCATGATGAATAGATTCACTTGCTTGTTCAGAGTAAATTCCAAGTCCATTGTTAGTATTGGTACTTTTTTAAAAATGATACAATATACAGCATTCAAAGAAATATTATTAAAGTAATAATATATTCCATTAAATTAACATAAGACAACTTGAATTCGGAAACTACAGATTCAATATCATTAATAATTTTTCTGCAAAGGTGGCTTGCTTCATT